TCATTTAGATAAACTAATCGCATATTAAGGATGTAAACAGGAACATTTTTGGATTAAAAAACATAAAAACTTAAAAAAGTGACATTAACAAAGCTAGAATTTAAACAACTTTTAGCACCAGCTGCAAAATGCATTCTGGGAAATTTCCATGCATTTTTTTTTTTTTTTAATTTCCATCAATGGACCCTGAAGTGCTGCTCTTCATGTCTCTGAAAACGTCAAATTTATAAACCGGTGTAATTTAGATAAACTAATCGCATATTAAGGATCTAAACAGGAACATTTTCGGATTAAAAATTATTCAAACCTAAAAAAGTGACATATTAACAGTGATAAAGTGAGAATTAAAACAGCTCTTAGCATCTTTACTGCTGCTGCGAAATGCATTCTGGGAAATTTCCGTTACAATTTTCCGGAACAATTTAAGTCTAAATATATGAAATATATATATTAAAATATTAAAACCTAAGAAAGTGACATATTAACAGCAATAAAGTGAGAATTTAAACAGCTTTTAGCAGCTTTACTGCTGCATTCTGGAAATTTTCCGTTACTTTTTTCCGCTTTACTCAACGTTGGCTCCTGCCCAGACCCCCCCCCCCCCCCTCTGCCCTGACCCATGACCCCTGACCTTAGACTTAGACTTAGACCTAGACAGTACTTTATTGATCCCTTGGGAAGACTCCCTCAGGAAATTAAGGTTACCAGCAGCTTAAAGGGCAAACAGTGTCAAGTTAGAATCAAATCAAGCAAAAATATACAAATAAAAATACAAAAAATACAGATTAAGTACAGTGTATGTGTATGACCCCTGACGTCCTCACTCAGATCATCTTCTACGAGGACCGGGACTTCCAGGGCCGCTCGTATGAGTGCGAGGCGGACTGCCCGGACGTGCACCCCCACTTCAGCCGCTGCAACTCTGCGCGGGTGGAGGGCGGCTGCTGGGTGCTCTACGAGAAGCCCAACTACGGGGGGTACCAGTACGTGCTGACGCGGGGGGAGTACCCCGACTATCAGCGCTGGATGGGCTTCAGCGACGCCATCCGCTCCTGCAGGACCTTCTCCTACGTGAGTCCCACCCAAAGGGGAACCGCTCCTGTGCATGCATTCCTTGGACTCACTGCCTCGTTGTTACCTTTCCCCTTCCTTCCAATCCCCCCATCCCTCCCTCCCTATGTGTCCTTGATGTTGTGATTTGACTGTATCTGTGCTTTAGTGTACGAGGTGTTTTTTTATATCACTGTTACGTCCCCTGTAGGGGGCGTGGCACTGGGCCTTTTTTTTCCCTCTTCCTGCAACCGCTTTCCCAATGTATTCTTTTTGTTCTGAAGAAAAATGGATTCTGGCGCTGTGTAGACGGCTGCCTCTCCAGTATCTTCTGGTAACCTTAATTTCCTGAGGGAGTCTTCCCAAGGGATCAATAAAGTTCTGTCTAAGTCTAAGTCTAAGTCTAGATTCGTCTGGCACGTCTGGTCTTCAATCAGCCCCAAAATTCTCACCTCCCCCCTCTGTTCATTGAACTCCACTGGTTACCTCTGGCTGCCTGTATCAAACCCAAGTCCCTGATGCTAGCCCACAAGTCCTTGATGCTAGCCCACAAGTCCCTGATGCTAGCCCACAAGTCCCTGATGCTAGCCTACAAAGTGCTTAAGGGTACGGCTCCCATCTACTTGAATCCTCTTCAAAGGCTTCTGTCCCAACTGGATCCTCCGGTCATCAGTGGACTGTGGTCTAGCAGAGCCTTCACCAGCTTAAGACCATCCAGACTGTTTAATGTGTCGTTCCAAGATGGTGGAACGACCTACCAAGCGCCACAAGAACAGCAGAGTCCCTGTCTGTCTTCAAGAAACTCTTGAAGACCCACCTCTTCAAAGAGCATCTCCTATCCTAACCCTAACCCGCTCTGCTAGACCACAGTCCACTGATGACCGGAGTGATCGAGTTGTGACGTAAGCCTGGATGGGCTTCAGCGACGCCATCCGCTCCTGCAGGACCTTCTCCTACGTGAGTCCGGCCCAAAGGGGAACCGCTCCTGTGTAGAGGGTTAGATTCGGTTCTTTAGCTGGAAGCCCGAGAACAAACCAGACTTAGACTTAGACAGTACTTTATTGATCTCTTGGGAAGACTTCCTCAGGAAATTAAGGTTACCAGGAAATTAAGGTTACCAGCATTATGTTTTTCAATGCGAGTGGCTTGGGGAACGATCCGCTAAAGTTTTTCTGTAAATATGGGCTTCTAGACAGAGTATGTAGTAACAAATTGACCCTCTAGGTAGCTGAGCCACTTTTGATGGGAGATGAGCATAGACTGTAGGCAAACAAAAACAAACGCAATGGTTCGCTATGCGAGAAATGGCGCCGGTGAGACGCAAGTCCAGGAAGAACGGAATAAGGTAGAAACACATTTTTTTTCCTGATGAAAGAAGAGAGTCTACTCTTTCTTTTGGTGTGTTCGGTGTTTACATAGTCATAGCACAAACTATTCTGTGGCTCTAGAAAAATCAGTCAAAATGCTAAAAAAAACTCTGGCAGCATGGGACTCTGTTCTGGAAATGGCTGGCAGTCGATGAGTTAAATGGAGGAACATCTGAGTGGGGAATTCTGTAGAAACCAGGTTTTTAGGGCTTTAGATTAAGAAAATAATTGAAAATCAGTTTTTTTTTAGGTATCTAAATTAAGTAAAAGCATTTAAAAAGCATTTAAAAAGCATTTAAAAAGTATTTAAAAAGCATTTAACTTTACGGAAAAACTTTAGCCGATCGTCCCCCAGCCACTCTCGTTGAAAAACATAAAAGACCTCTATAGACGTCTTTGGCAGTCATCGGTTGTATTTGAATTGACGTCTATAGACGTCTTTGGCAGCCAATGAGTTAAGTAAAAGCATTTAAAAAGCATTTTAAACGGCCTCCCTGTCCTCTTTAGAGCGGCGAGGGCCCGTACCGGCTGCGTCTCTACGAGCGTCCCAACCTTCAGGGCGCGGCCACGGAGCTGAGCGAGGACTGCGCGGCGCTGCAGGATCGCCGCGGCGGCGGCGAGCTTCAGTCCTGCAGCGTTCTGGACGGCTACTGGACGCTCTACGAGCTGCCCGCCTACCGCGGGCGCCAGTACTTCCTGCGGCCCGGAGAGTACCGAAGGTTCAGCGACTGGGGCGCCGCCTGCGCCACCGCCGGCTCCGTCCGCAGGGTCACCGACTTCTAACCGACTTCTAACCGCCGGGGACCAGGACGGAGCCCAAACGGCGTCCAAACGGCGTCTAAACGGCGTCCAAACGGCGTCCAAACGGCGTCCAAACGGCGTCTAAACGGCGTCCAAACGGCGTCCAAACGGCGTCCAAACGGCGTCTAAACGGCGTCCAAACGGCGCCCTGTTAGGGGCCGGAGGAGCGGCCCAAAGGGGACCGGAGGGTAGTACTGCACAACTAATCTGATTTAATATAATCGGATGTAATCTAATCTAATTTTATCTGATATAATCTGATCAAATCAG